GTCCTGGTGTGATGAAAATGATTAATATTTTTTTTTTTTTTTTAAGTTAACTATAGAAATAATGAAAACAAATTTATAGTGTGAACTATAAATTATAAACCATTTGTCATGGTGTGAACCACGAATTAAAATATTTTAGTTCGTGGTCTGAACAATAAATAGTAAAATACCCGATAACTCGATTTTTTACGTAATTACATTGGCTTATTATAACATTAATAATATTATAACAATAACCCACTAAACCACACAATCTATAAATAGTTATTCAGGTGGGTTTTAATATTATATATATATTGTGATTAACAAAATATACGACTATGATTGTGAATACGTCATAGGCTTGATTTTTAAACAATAATTCCTACTAAATATCACAAATTATATGATTAAAATAAATTAGTATTTTCTGAATTTAAGTTTTTAATAACAAAAAAAATAAAAAGTAAAATTTAGACTTAAAATATAAAACAGTACCTATTTAATATAATATATATGTAAATTATTTATATTGAAGTGCAATAAACAATTATAATGCGCAAATAAACATGACCATTAATTTAGAAAACATGGATTATCTATTATTATTCACACAAAAGTGCACTGATTTTTGTGCTCTATACTAATTATTATAAGAATTATTCTTATCAATTATCTTGATTTTATAGAAACACTTATTATTTTATTAGGTTAGCCTAATTTTGGTTCTGGTATTAAATTATTTTTCTCCAGAACTGCTTCATTTGATTCCGCTTCATCCATAATCTCCATTTCATTTGCATGAAGGTTGAGTTCTAATACATAGTTTTAATATGTTTCAGAGCAGGATTTTCCTGGCTAAGAACTGTTTTGTCTGGTTCTATTTTTTATATTATTTCTTCTAGTACGATTGAACAGTTATCGAGTTCTGTTTCTGTAATATTTGAAATTGATGTCAAATATTTTGAACTTGTTCCAGGGTGAGATTTTTTAGAGTTTCTCTATTCGATTCTATTTGTGTGACTGTCCTATCGTTTGTCGGTTTTAATTCTTCAGATTTACGTATTTCCTCTTTCGTGAGTAAAAATTGCTTGTGGAATTTACGATGACATATTTTAATGCAGTCTGTGTCTGTGCACTTATAAACGGGCTTAATGATATTTACTATTTTACAATATATATATATATATATATTAAGTCGAAAAGCAAATAAGGTAAATGGTTTAACAAAATTGTGGTTTTAACTTTTAATCCATATCTTTATTATTTTAGAAAGAATATTAAAGAACAATTGTTTTGTAAATTCAATCAATGAATACTTTTGTAAAACTGTTTTATTATATAAATGTTAACTTAATGACTGATATTTGAAAACACGTATGGTATAACTGGTAGTTTCCCGCAAATAACGTAATTGATTGTTTTTATTTCAGCTAAATTCAGCCTAATAATACTTTATTTGTTAATAAGATTCTTTACATTGAAGTCATTGAATACCATTGTTTTATTAAAAAGAAATGTCAGGCAATTCTATTAATTGGTTTAGTTATTTTCCTAATCACCATAGATGTATGAATATAATACATTTGTAATACTAAAAAAAGCAATAAAATATAATTTATATTTTGATATATATTTAATATATATATATTTTATAATATATCTATTTCGTATTTGTATTATAATCAATTATTATTTATTAATGAAATGCTTTTGTACATAATATATTTTTGTAGGTTCTAAAAATGAAAAAAAATGTTTGGTGATGTAATTGGTTAAAGGTGGGTGGCCTGCCTGGCCTGGTTAAATTTCAATCTCCAGGTCTGATTTGGTTTCCACTCCGCCCCTGGGCCACGACAATAATATACAAATATAATAATTTCAAATAATTGTTAAAGGCATAGCATAGGTATGATATAATTTGTAAATTATATTATTTCATTGTGTATTTCATACATGTTATACAATATCTAAAATAATATTAATATCAATCTGTTATTTTATTGATCATAACAAATAAATGTTTTTGTTAAGTTAGATTGGTTTATATTGTTATACTTGTTATAGGCAATAAAAATTGTGTAATAAAAACTAATTAATATATACATGTATATATATACATAAATTTTCTGTTGCGATAAAAATTTAATTTTTTTTTTAAGCCAAGAATAAATTTAAAAAAAAACTATGTCAAGGAATGAAAATTTAGGTAGATTATGTTTAATGCAAATATATAATGTGGAAAGTAATACAATATAATTTATCTCCGTTGTCCTCTCCTTTAATTCAAAATACAATATCTACACAAACTTATTATATATAAATCAGTCATTAGACTAGTTTGGTCTTATGAAATCGCAATTTGGGGTTTTACCAAATTATTGAACATTCATACATTTCAATCAACTACGTTGAGTCTCTTAACGCACACCTTATAGTATATTTCAAATTTTTTCTTACATAATGACATAATATTAAGTACAAAAACCGAACACCGAACTAACCAATACAATATGGAAACATTTCCACCAAAATTTAAGCACGCAAAGCATTACACTTTTTACACTTTAATTCGGCTGCATATGAATTGCGTTCTAAAATACAAAAATATAAATCGCGATATCCGAGTTGCGTCCCGATTAATAATTGATTAATTGGCTAATAATATACATATTTTCCTTTCCAATTTTACAGACTGAAGACTGTCATTTGTATAAATGGTGTATAAACAGCAATATAATAGTTTATTTTTTTCACTGAACATTTTCACTATTTCAAGATTTTCCATTGCAAAATTAAATAAATATAAATAAAAATATGATGATTTGATATGGAATGTTGAAATGTGACTGATGTAGTGATGTTAACGCGAACAAATAAATAGCAAGGTGGTATTTACAGATAAGATAGCGATAATTGAGATTATATCTACGAGTTTATCACCAAACATTATTATTAGTGGCTGAAAAACGCGTGGACACTGGACGCAATTCGAATGCACCGTCTTATTCCATATGTCAACTAGCTGTTATCTTTCAGAAAAACTCGCCACGCAGATTGAAGCGTAAATGGCGAGAATCGCGGACGTTTTGTCCCTGCTGTTTCGTCCCCATCAAAAAAACCAGTCCACAGACGTTTCGTCTCGGAGAGTTATTAACCATAGGACGTTTCACGTTTGATCCCCCGTATACTTAGATAATCTAAATAATTATATTTGATGTTAAAATGAAAATACTACAAAATATACAAATATATAATCAATATTCATACAATATAATCAAATAGTCAAAATTTAAGATTTAAATAAATCACAATTATATTAAATCAATAGTTAACATAAAATGAATAAATAAAATAATTAAATACTATAAATTATAATATTAAGATAAATTATATATTTATTTTAGGTTAACTGAATTTTGATATACTAAATTTTTTATATCTATAAGAAAACCACATCATTTCAGGTATTGATATAAATTCAAAATTTCAGCTCGCAAATCTGTTTGGCTCTATAGTGCACGTAAAATCTTTACTACTTACCTATAGGCCAGGGATGGGCAACTCAAAGTTACTATAGGGCTCCTGCTATAGGCTATATACTATATTAGATATTATACAGAATTGTTCATTAAAAATAAATGTATTATAATCGTTAGTAAAATAACGAACTTTGAAGTAATTAATAATTAATAATGATTTAAAAAAACCTGAAAACCGAATGTCCTATTATCTAAGAATACCAGAGACCAGAACCAAAGTCCTATAACAATAGCTCTCCGAGACGAAACGTCCTACCTTAATAATTGCTAAGGACGAAATGGCGAGGGCGAAATGTCTGTTTACCAAATGGTGAATGGTGTAGACTGTAGAGATTTATTAAATTAATTAAAGTTGTTACCAATAAATGTATTCTTCACCACGATGTTCGTGTCATTTTAATCTTGTACTTTAAATTTATATCAAATTTGCTTATTGCCGTAGTTGTATGCAAATTATAAAATTTTCTTCAAATTCCATCTAAATTTGTGAGATAATATCTATAGTCCGCTCTCACGGACAATTAAAAACGAAAATATCCCTCGATTTGCTATGCAACATCACCTTAAGTAAGTCTGAAGTCACAAGGTTAAAAAAATTGCATTTTTTGTTGCACCGAGTCTTCTAGCAGGGTCACTCACTCAGGTCGATAACTGTCTCTAAATAGTTTGGATAAAAACATTAAAAACAAAAATACATATATAAATAACACATTTTATTAGGTTTACAGTTCCATTTAAATATCTTTCAATTAAAGATTAGGTAATTTTAACACGATAATAGATTTTCGATAACATAAAATGTCAATTTCTGTAAGTTTTTATCGCGTGCTTAATATTATTGATCATTTCGTTTTTCTCTACGTACACGACAACTTATAATTAATAACGTTAACCATGGTGATGGAAAAGCATGTAAATCTCTTTGATTTAAAAGAGTGGTCAGATCAGAATGACGGGTTTAGGTTTAATTACCAAATTACAACAATTTGGTATATTGCCAACTAATCAAAAATGTCCTCGTGGATATTTTATGAAACTTGTAAAAGATCAGTCAACAATTGACAACCATAAATGGATATGCAGTCATGCAGAGAAAAAGTTGGTGGTAAGAAAGGGAAAAAATCAAGCAACTATAGGATAAGTACTTTCGTAAATAAAAATTTACAAAAAAAAAAAAAACAAATCAAAAATTTAAATTAAAAAAAAAAAAAGGGTGTCCAGTAAAGTAAAAATGTTCTTATTACTTTTCTGAGTTAGTTTTTTTGAATTTGAAACACTCCGTCTTCCAATTACTATTTTCTATTTTCGGTATTATTTTATTCTTGTTTTTTAGCACTCGGTGGAATTAAAATTGGAGTATCATCGACTGGACGTTGGACGACACCTCCATTTTTTTATATCATAATTCAAAAGTTAAGAGTTGGTAGTACTTTTTTGATTTCATTTATCTGATTCTTATCATTTTAATCATTCTTATCACTCCATTTTTGTCAAGACTTCAATAAAATATTAAAATTTAAAAATTGTTCCTGATAATTATTTTTTTTTTTTAAATTCCAAAAAAACTCTTACATTTGAAGGATTCATTGCTGGATACCAGTGCAGTAGATTAAAAAAATATGGTCAATATTGTCAGGTAAACATATAAGTTAATATATTACTTGTCTAGAACAAGTTGGATTTAAATTTCTATTGAATAGTCTTTTCAGTTTTAACATATTAAATATTTTAGAATAAACTTTATAATTGAATTAGTTAAAGTATGAACAGAAATGTAATAGAACAATAAATAAATTTCAATTTTTTTTTTTAACGTATTTATCCAAATATCCAAATACATCAACCATCGCCATGAAAATCTGTACATTAGTATTAAACAAATCTTAGTTATAAATTAATTAAAAAGTGATTCATCAAGCATGCTCATGCACCCTTTTTTTCTTGAAAAACATAATTATTAAAAATCTGACTTGGAAGTTTAAATATACTTAATTTAAAGTTTTCAATATATTTTTGTACTTCTTCAGGGGTGTTTTGTATGGATACAAACTTCTGTTTTAAATAATACAGTTTTTTAGCTCTTAAATTTTTTGAATAATGTTAAATACCTATCAAAATCAATATCTCAATGAGGATTTTCTGAGTTATTTAATTTTATACACCGAGGGATATTAAACCACAAAAATGAGTTAGAAAGCTCTACGGGAAATATAATAATTTTTATTTAATAAAGATGGTTCAAGTATAATAAATACTAGTACTAAAACCAATTTTACAGACATTTTTTGTTTTAGGAAAATCGTTTTAAGGGCTTCTATTCTTAATTTAAACATTTAAAATATTTTAAGAACTAGAAAACTACTTGCTCAAATTTTAACATAGTTACATTAATATTTCTAAAAAAATATTTATAAAATAATTTACAGTAAGAGAGGTTTTCATTTGAAAAACATAAGTTTGTATCACTGCAGTTCACTCCTTTAGTAGTACAAAATATCTCAATAATTTTAAAATATGATCTTTAAGAACATTAAATTAAACATTAATACTTAAGTATTATACTGAAATGTATTTATGTTTATAATGTTTATCATTACTATTTATTATTAATTATATGATTTTATACAATATTTAAATATTTATTGGTAAATAAACCTCATAGTCATAAAATAGAAATTTCTGGTTTATGAGATTTTCGATTATTATTTAATTCAGAATTTGTTAAAATTATTAAAATATTTTTATTATCATTTATTGTTATTGTATTCTTATGCTTGGTTTATAATACAATTTATATGCAGTGATGAGATGCATGTTTTTATGTAAGTTTAGAAGACGTTGAAATAAAAAATGATTGAGCGTTGCATTTTTGTATAACATCAGAAATAAACAAATTGTAAATTATAATTATTTAAATTATTTGTCCGTAATCCAAAGTTGTAGGGCATAGTCCTTCAACCTTCTATCTTGTAATGCTTGTTATTATGTAATATAAATTGGAACTTCACTGCTTTAGAACTTTGAAGGTATATTTACTTAGAATAATAAGTTATATTTTTCCAACTTTAGTGAAAATCTATCATCTATGAAGTTATCAGTAGCTTTTCAAATAGTTTAAAAATATTTTAGTATTGTCGTGGTATTATATAAGTAGATTTCCCAATAGGTAATAGAAGTGGTTGAGCTGGCAGATGCCTAAGGACGGTAATTGTTGTAGTGCTTTTTAAAATACATCATTCGTATTTGAGGAAAATAGAAAATTTTTATTTAATATTTTCGAAAAATGATCCATAATTCATATCATACGTGCATTGTTAAAAAAACAGTTTTTGAAAATAATAAATTTAAAAATAGATTATGCAGGTCACATAATATCAGATGTGTCATATTCGTAGACCATAATGGGTATAATATTTAAAAATGAATTTATTTTTAAATTTAATTCGACAACCTTGGTAGTATCGCTGTTATCATAACTATTATGTTCGAAAGATAACTATAACATTAATCAAAAACCAGCATAGTTATTCAATATTCGGTAATAATTAGTAATTATTGTATTATTTTTTAATCGGTCTATGTTAAAGAAAACTTAGCACGTGTGGTGTGTCAGTGTAGTTTAAAAATCAATAAGAAAGTACCTATGTTTCCTAAATATAAGTACCAAGTAAATTGGTAAATCAAAAATTGTCAAGGAAGGTTTTAATTTGGTGAATGTCCATGGAAATATTTTCTAAGTAGGCTTAATTACTAAGAGAGAAAAAAATAAGCCCGAAAATTCAAATTAATTTAGGACTACATACAACATACTAATTGTAAACACATCGTTCAGCCTAGTTTAACGTAACAATTTCGTATTAACTGCGATTATAAATAAAAAGTTTGAGCCGGCCACTAGCTGGGTACATTTTTATATAACTAATTTGTATCACATCTAAGTACTTATTGTGCCCAAGTGGTATAGATTGTAAAATTTACTTTAAAAAAAAAAAAAAAGAAAAGAGTTGGGTACACAAATATTTTCATTACCTACCTAATAACTTTTTCAGAACTTGGGACAAAAGTTAAAAAAAAAAAAAAATGGTGGATTTAAAAATATTTGTGTCTTGCAAAAAAGTAATTGTTTGAGTTTTACATTTGACTAGTATTTTATAAAAATAATTTTTGAATCAAAAGCATCAGTATTATCATAATCGCTGATAAATTGTCATTAATAGAGTAGCGCTAGGTATATAAGCAATATTGGTAATCGTCGATATCAAACACAAATTGCCCGATGTCCGCAATCGTTGAGCAAAAATGATTGAAAATTTGCCTGCGACTTCTATTAATATAATTACTTTGTCCACTATGAGAAAATAATTAGATTTAGGTAATATTATAATTAATATTAAGAATATTTTAAAGGGTGCATTATTATTTATTTATGATAGATGCAGTACATTTTTAATGACTGTAGTCGTTAAAAATTGATAGCAATCCATTAGTATACTCATGTTATGTATAATTTGTACAATTAAAAAAATCAACCATCACTTGATTCTTATTAATTTTATCAAATATATATTAATCTTTTGAATTATTTTTTTCTATAGATTTAGTCGCTTTTTTAGTAGTAAATCAGCTGCTATTACAAAAATTCATAGAAACATTTATCCACAACACTACCTTACCAAAGTAGTTCAACCAGATGGTTCAAGTTTTACCATTAGATTCAATGATCCTCGTATGATAATTAAAGTAAGTGTTTTATTGTTTAAATATGTATATTAAATAATTAATATAACTTTTTGATTTTAGTTACCTTTAGATATGAACTCAATAAGTGAAGAAGAACGTAAACGCAGAATGGAAGCAAGAAAGCCCAAACAAAAGGTTAAAATAGTAGATGAATTGGAAGATTCATTTGACAGGACCAAGTATTTAAAATATTTTAAAAAGTGACATTGATCATGTTTATAAACAGAGTATACCATATGTACAATGAATATGAATTAATAATTATTAATTAGATGTAGGATGTTCAAAAATTATTATATAAATAATATACATAATAAAATAAAATACAATACCATTTAAAATTTAAGACATTTATTTTAATTAGAATTGACACATCGGACAGATGAAATATTAAGCAGGAAAAAGTACAAATATATATATATGTAAATATACTATATAGTATATTCATAAATAAATTAAACAATATAAATGCAATTTGAACTCTGGTACATACCTGACCGATGGCTGCAGACTTTTCATATATTATATGTACAATACTACAATAATCCTGACACTCAAAAACACTACTTCATTAAACCTAATTACTTATGAATATATTTTAATTAACTATAATGCTTAATGTATTGACATTTTATGTTGTATAATTTAATTTTCTATAGAAAATGTCTTCTATGGTTAACTTAATCCTTAGTTAGCTTACCAAATATTATGGTAATTTTTTTTAAAAAAGATATAAAAAATTATATATTGATAGAAAAACACATAATATATGTATTGGTAGTAAAAATAGTAGGCACGTTCTTCTTAATAAAACAGGATGCAATACAGTATAGAATATTAAGACAAAATCTTTTTTTATAAAAAGAATTACAATGTAATTCCCATCTGTATTATAGAGAACTGAAGGTAGACAATGACAAATAACATTAAAAACCCATATAAAAAATGTAATTAAAATAACAAACGTCTTTAACTAATTCGTACCAAATATTGGAAGATTTAATCTCACTGTAAATAAATATAATCCCCCTCATTGGGATTGAAATATTTTATATCTATTTAAGTAAGTTAATTTCTATACAAACATCAAAGTGTATGTTTGCTAAACTGTTAACCCCAAACTTTATTTTTAGATTTAGTTAATATATTGAATGGTAAAATCAATTAACTAAAAGTACATTAAAAAAAAAAAAAAAAAATGAAGAGTCTGAATAATCAACCATAATAAATTGTAATTCTTATAGTAATAATAATGCAAATTAGTATTTTCCTTATCTTGATAACATTAAACATTTATTAAATTCATAACAGATACATATAGTACACAGTTGAAATAAAATTTTATTGACTGGGATTTTATTTCAGAGTTAAAATACTAATCACAAAATTATTACATTGAAACTGTATTTTAAACAAAACAAAAAAATATAAAAATATAATTGTTTTAAGGAAGTATCAATATCATTCATTATAATTAATATTAAATTTCAATTTAGTTTTGTCTTAACAATTTGTTTAAACTTTAAAAAGATCATTAACTTCAAATACATATATACTTATGTAATTAATAATGAGTTTTAATAATTTAAAAGAAAACAAATTGATAAAAATAACAAAATAGAAATCATAATTATAAATATTAATTGAACATGATATTTATACTTCCTTGAAAACACATTAGTACATTAGTTAAAATAACTATTAATTTATTCTTAAAATATTATGAAATAAAACAAATATTTTATAAAATATAGCTAATAATTGACTATTGGGAACTAAAATTAACAGTCTAAATTTATATCTGTAGAACAGGTACAAATAACAAGTATATACATGATTATAATTGTTTGCAATAATCATGAATATCCCCAATAAAATAAAATGGTAGAAATGTATATTACATAATTTGCTTGATATGTAATTCATTATAATTTGACTATTCAGACTCAAAGGTACCAAAATTATATTCACACGTTTAAAATTGGGGCATCAGAACGAGTTATGCACCTTACCAATATTGCAACTAATTAAGGCCTGCAAGTTATTCCTGTATTACATCAAACATTCATATTAAATATTTCTTAATATTGATACTGGCCTACTGATGAATTTTCGCTTTGGGCTCGGTACACTTGAAGTAACATTTTTAGTCAATACATAACTACCCTTGAATAAAGGTTGTTGAAACGGCCGTTTATTGTTGATTACAGTCTTATTTGGGGGTTGAACTACATATGTCATAGGCATATCTTGAACAGATATCAAATCATCAAAGTTTGTTTTGTACTCTGATGGTTCAATGCCAAAGCTGCCATCATTTGAATTCTCTTCAATTTCTTCTTCATCATCAACCTGAAATAATAATATATTTGATTTATTTTAAATTAAAAAACTTTTATTAACTTTAACAACTTACATCATTGCCAAGTTCATTAAGGTTAGCTAAATCATCCAGGCCAAATGTTATTAGTTGATATGGTGAATCATCTTTATCAATTCTTGATTCATTATCAGATTCCTCTTCAACATCACTGACTCTATCATCTTCCGATGTCATTTCTTGACTTATTATTTCTTCCTCCTCCTCTTCTTCTTCTTCATCATCAAAAAAACAACCGTCTCGCCGATCATAACTTTCATTCATCTCGCCACGTTCCAGTAAATCCAAATGTTCTTGATATCAATTTATAATTATTAAGCAGTTAAATTATAGAATTTAATTTTGTTTGTAACTTACCAGGATTGAGCATTGCACGTCTAATTGCAGAGGGATCTTTACGCGACCATTTTTGCATCTCATCATCCATTTTTGATATTTTGCTTGGATTCATTGTCCATAAACATCCCTTTCTTGGGGCACCTGTACTACCAATTGGTTTTTCAATCTTTTCAAAACACTTATTCAAACTAAGGTTGTGACGAACAGAATTTTTCCATCCGCTACTGGCAGTCTTAAAATACGGAAAATGTTTACTGTAAAAAAAAAAAAAAACCATTAATTAGGTATTATAAAATATTAAAATATCATTAGTTGTTTAAATATGTATATCAACTACATACCACATAAAATTATAAATTTCTGAAACTGGTAAAGATCCAGAACTTGAGTTTTTTAATGCCATAGCAATTAAGCATGAGTAGGAATAAGTAGGTCTTGGATAAAGACCCATACTTTCATTAATTTTGTTGCCATTGATTCTCGATTGAATTGGTTTTATTTGCTGCTTAGGCCTAACAATTTTGTAATGCCCAGAAATAGTATTATTGACAAAAGAAATTGGAACCGTCCTAGATGTTACAGTTGTCTTTAGGGTAGGTAAAGCTGATGGCATTGTTACACGTACAGTCATTAATTCTGTCTTCTGTTGACCAGTACTTGATGTTTGACTTAACAAATCAGATAGCCTAATAGCTTTTGGTATGGGTTTGAGTTCTTCCATTTTAGTTATTTCTAATGGCAAATTTTCAGATTTTACATTTATATTTTCTGGATTAATTTCAGGAAACTTAATCATAACATCTTGAGGTTCTACTGAGTCAAGCTCCTCTTTTTTAATTGTAATAGGAAAGTATGTTTTTGGTGAATTTGGTACATCAATTGGCTCATCTTTAATTTTAATTTCTGCAGCTGCAGCAGATGATGGTATTACAGAATTAGGATTAACCATGATAGCTGATTCTAAATCGCCTTCCATAAAGTCTAAATGATGAGAATCAGAATCGGAATTGAGCCATAATCCAGAATTGAGCGGATCCATCATGGACATCATATTGTCATCATTCAATGACAATGAATCATCATAGTTGAAACTATTACTTGATAACACACGGTCATAGTCACTTTTCATGTCAAAGTCTATACAGTCTTGATAGAAAGTAAGGCTATCTAATGTTCCAAGATCCATGTTGCTTGTTTAATTGATATATCTGAAAAAAAAATTAAATGAATTATAGCATTTAAAATACAAATAAATATTAATTAAAATTGCTTTTATATAATGAATTAACAAAGAAAATTATTATAGGTTTGCAGTATGTTTAAGATTCATAGTAGGAAAAATTCAAAAAAAAATTGACTATAAAAAAAAACGTATTTGACAGTTATTTCACGAGTTGTGTTTGAATCCAGAAGATGGCGCCATAGGTTAATACAAAAAATCAATACACTCGTATTTGAAAAAGGGGGACGGTAAGCCTTTGCTTACTAAATAACGACAAATGTTATTATATTTGTTTTAAAAACGTACTTTAAATTATGCTTTCAATCATGAATAATTTTAATCGTACAATGATGATAAATTCGGAAAATTTTTAAGAACAAAGTTTTTATACTTAAATTAACCTACCTACATTGACTTTTGTTGGATTTTCTAAAATAGAACATTTTTTTTACTAATATTAATTATTTCGTTTTTTTAGTAACCGACCCAAAACATAATGCTCTTTAAGTTTTTTTGTCTAGTATTAAACTAATAAATCCGTTACAAAATAAATATCAGTCGACTAATTTAGAAGATTTAGCCGCTTTATTACGCAGGCATGACCTTATACTATTATTATTTTACACAAATTTTATATCAATATCAAATGAAGTATTATCATTTATCAAGAAATTATTATTATTAATAATTATATATTGACCAAGTTAAACCGAACTCAGTGTATAATATTTATAAACCCAGTCTTATTTATCTTTAATTGTCTACAATTGATGGACAATATACCAAAAGTAATGACCTGATGATTGACTCATTCCTTAAAATATTACAACATGGCATTCTCATAAGTGAGCATGCACGTTACGCAGCACACTTAAGTAATTCAATTATTTTATCGCCGTCATTATCACGAAACGTTATGATAAAAAATTGGCGGTATTCATTCATTGATCAGAAATTACCAAAGTACGTCGTTAATGATTCCGATTCACGTGAACTGGATCGGTATTAAATATAAATACTCTAATTGAAAACTAGTTATCGATTTGGTCGTTAAATATTAAAACCAAAAACACGGTCGATCGCAATAAGTGTACTATAAATCTATAAACTCGAAGTAATAACAGTTTACTACGAAATATGTTCTCAAAACAAACATAACCTGTAACATTTCAGAGTTCAATCGGCAAATAATTAGAGAAAAAAACCGATAACGCGTGTAATGAACGGTTAAATGAGTGCTTTTTATTTGGGGAATGAGCTGTTATGTAAAGCTGCTCACGTACAACAAACGAACGTGTGGCGTGTGTTGTGTACGTAATGCCAGGGCAACATTGGAAATAATAATTATTACTGTAACGACACGTAATAAAAATAATTAATAAGAATTACATTTTTTTTTTTCAATGTATTATAGATACGTAGCGTCTGTTGAATGCCGCGATAATGACGACGACGAAATAGTTCGAATAATTGTTCTGAACGGTATACGCCGAAAAAACCTAAATCATAAATATTAACGCGATATGACATCAAACGGGATAGTGCCGCCGCCGCAACAACGACGACGGGTAACATTGGAAAACCTTGGGTGTAGAATAATCATAACAAGAGACACATTTCGTAGACGACTCGACTCGGTTTGTAAATAGTTTGGAGGGAAAAAGTTGAACGTTCCCGCGCGCGGACAGCGGAACTACGGATGCAGAGCGAAACAAGGGGGAGGGGGTGAGACGGACCTTGAAGATTAAACACGCTCTAGCACTAACACAGAAATACCATTCATTTAGTGCATGTACCATGTAGTCGGGTGGACTTTCTATAACAAAGAAGAAAATGCACTCGCGTCGGCCGGTGAATTATGCCGATAATGCCGTGTGGTACACGCCGCGTAACCTTCGACCAGAGTAAATAATAATAATAAATGCTACACGCGAGAACGATTCACCCCGAAACTTATCACTCGTGTACCATTTCGGAGCAAACAAATGATCGATGAAATCAAACACCGGTCCGGAAGGGGACACGTGTTTTTCTTTTGTTTCCGGACCGACCCGTAGGACCAGCACCGCATACTACGCCAAGCGCACGAATCCACAACAGAAGTTATACGCGATAAAATCCCAATATTATCGTGCCAGTGATACGACGACGGCATACACGAAGCTCACTATATTATTATCACCGTTCAATATTATTTATCGTACATTAGAATAACATAATAGTAATAGTAAAAATAATAACAATAATAGTAGTAGTAATATTATTATTATTATTATTATTACTATGCATGGAATTACACGTCGCTGCCGTAACCATGGCAACCACCATCAGCTTACGCGATCCATTATGGCGGGACCCCAGGATTGACCTTGTAAAATTTTTATCTACCGGTGGAGCGCGGGACCCGGCAACCGGCGCCGGACGATAGTTTTTGCCGGGGCGGCACGATTCAGATTTTTTTAAAAACAATGACCGGCGAAACGCTAAGAGCGTAAATAGAATCACTAGAATCTTGCCGTTTAAGTTGCCGCCAAAAATTTGCTCACCTGTGCGTAGTAAACGTGTCCGTGCGTAGTAAACCGGGTACGCTGTATTGGTCGCCGTGATGATTCTCTATCAGTTCCCTATGCAGTCGTAGCTAAGTCTTGCGATGTCGGCGGTGCGGGTGATACTGGTTAGGGGGTAATATTCTGATAATATTATAATAACAATAACAATAAAATAAAATGTGAGATAGCCGCCGCCAACGACGATATTTTGCGCGGTATACGCTGCTACTGAATCGACCGAAGGACCTATACGGTAATTATTCACGTCGAAACGAGTACAAAACGACTTACGCGTAATTATCGACGTTCGTGGCGACTGGCGCGAGTGATACGTGAAAACACTGAAAATGAGAGAAAAAAAAAAATCAAAAATAACATAAACACGACGAAAAATTGGCGCGCTAGGTGTGGAACAACCGGGAACGACGATCATTCGTGTGTGCGCGTACACAGCAGTGGGCGGCGCGGGGGAGCGGGGGCCGGTTGTCGACGGAGACAAGAGCGCTGCGCGTAAATACGTTATACGGCCGGAGTGCCAGACAAAGAACGCGTTTTCCATACCCGGCCGCAGCGGACCAATGGCAGCGATTCCCGCGACCGCCGCGCTTCCCACCAAGGTTTCCCATTCATCGCCCGCCAGTGAATAGTCGTGTTGGCAACACCGTTCGACTCTTCCACAAACTGATGAGTAAACCGTGTAAGCGCCCGGCAAATAAAAGTCGATAATCATTGCACTCGCCGCCGGCCCGGTCTCGGTGTCCGCCGTCGAGCTGCCAAAGCTGCCTTTTGCTCATTGGGGTTGGAAAGCGGGCGGGCACTGCAAGGCACTTGTTACTTGTACAGTTGTACGATTTTGAATTAACACGTTCAGGCTCGATGTGCAAGTGCAATTGTATAGCACATTAGCACACATTGTACACGTTTCCTTACATCTTACACACCGTTGTAGGTGTTACAACAACCCGGGCGGAACGTTTAATTGATGCCGCCATTATCGCGGGGTCGGGCTTTAGTAAAAATGCCTTAGTACTCGATTACGCTGTTCTCACTGTTCTCAGCTTGTAACTATTCAGCTATTGAGAATTTCTATTTACCACGGGATAGATTATCTAAAAATTTCATGCCACTGTCGTAACTCGTACTCGGAACGAGACGTCTCACCACACGACACTGAAAGCGATTTCTAGGAATTTCGTTCTGCTGCGTTCATCGCTTTTAAGCAAATTATTTATAATATATTTATTTAGTTGCGTTTCGTGAATTTTAAATTAAACATTACAATAATATTCTGTCTACGTGTCGTTATGGTTTCTTGCATAGTTGTATGGTTATTAGGATACGCGTTCGATTCTGAACATAAGTCAAACGAAATCAATCTGTAAAAATATTAATTGTTTTTCGTCGTTAACTCATTAATTTTTAAGCTGTTTTCTAGTTATTAAATATTTAATATTTATTCTAGCAGACAGCAGCTGTGGTCTCCGAGTGCCAATACAATTTTACAACATGCTATGTACTTAACTAGTTTTTATTATAGTTTAAATTTACTACATTTGGTAAACTATAGTACCATAGACCAATTGCAGCTGCAGTCCAGTGCACAGCAAAATAATCTACACAATTGCACAAATAAGCACCATGCACATGTTCTTTCTTCTTTCGGTTCAATTAAGCCGCGTATATTGTGTGGTGGCACTGCTTATATCGTAAATTTCCGAAGATTTCCCCTGTCCAGTGTCGCCAATGTTTTTAGTGCACAGAGCCGAACCTGAGTTCTGATAAAATGTAATTGTTTAAAGTTCTATCACTTCTATCTTTTAAAATCGTGGACTAGTGTATTATACAGTACATATTATTACTTCTTTTATTATAAAGAATATTAACTATTAAGCGACTAATAAAAAGTAATGGCTTAAATTGAGTACTGTGCTCTAATTTTTCAAAATGTATTTTGTAATATCGCTAAGTACTTAGTGTTTCGTGTTTGATGTATATGTGTTATTGAACGTTAAAAACCGAACATCAATCATGGCCAGGAACGCAGAAAAAGCAATGTGAGATTTTTAAAGTAGATATTTCTTTTTTTAAATAAAACGAATACTAAAGTCATAAATGCTACATATTTTAATTAAATTGTACAAACAATATTATTAAAACATGCTTTAAATTGTAAAAACTCTAAATGAAAAAAAAAAAAAGATTTACAAAACTTATTTATTCTATTTTATGTAAATATAGAGAATTGTACTAAATAAAAAAAATAAATATTTACATAATATACCCTTAATTAATTATATTTCTGTTATACATAGGACTACATTAGCTCGGTGGAGAGCAGCTCAGGTGAAGGAACATGGTGGCAAGGAAGAACGACGGCCATACTTGGCTACTGAATGTACAGACTTGAAAGCAGCTGAAAAATGGAGAGTTCAAATCATAAGAGAAATATCAAAAAAAGTTGCACAAATACAAAATGGTACATACATTTTTTTAATATTTCTATTTTATATATTTAAAATTTATTTAATTTTAGCTGGATTGGGTGAGTTTAGATTACGTGATCTTAACGATGAAATCAATAAATTATTGCGGGAAAAAAAACATTGGGAATATCAAATTCGTGAACTTGGTGGTCCAGATTTCTTACGAATGGGTCCAAGAATGCTTGATCATGAAGGCAGAGAAGTACCCGGTAATAGAGGTTATAAATATTTTGGAGCTGCTAAAGATTTACCAGGTGTTCGAGAACTATTTGAACATGAACCTCCTCCACCTCCACGTCGTACTAGAGCAGAACTTATGAAAAATATAGATGCTGATTATTATGGATACATGGATGAGGAAGACGGTCTTCTATTAACCATGGAAAGAAAAAAAGAAAAAAAGAGTATGTTTAAAATTATTAGTTTAAAATCCATTGATTATTTTTTTTTTTTTAATACTTTTTTAGTGTTAGAAGCTTTGGGACAAAAGACAACAACTTGTGATGAGGCGGAATTGGTAAAAAATATATTTATTTCAGTGCTTGAGCATAGTTTGATATTTTACAATAATTGTATTACAGGCTTTTGAAGAAGTTGATAGTGATGATGAAGACATTTCAACTATGTTTAGTAGTTCACGTTATATACATCCACCACCTGTTCCAAGTGATCAAGATATTCAAAATTTAATTCTTGATTATAAAAAACGAGAATTACTTGAAAACTTTGCTGGTATACAAGGTGACAAGGAGCACGAAGAAATAGAAGATCTAGCTAATATATCATCATCAGATGATGACACATATACTAAATAATTTGGATGTATATATGCTGTATTTTTAATAATAAAAATTACCTTTCAATGGATTTTGTATATTCATTCAGTTATTTATTATTCTGTAGGATCTACTAGAATTAAACCTCGACAAATAAATGAAAATTCTTTGACTACTACTTGTAAAGTTTTTTTGCTAGTTCTTTCTCTGTAAAAAAAAAAAAAAATTAATAATAATATTACACTAACTGTGTAATGTTTAATTATTACTAAACATAAAATAGTTGTTGAACTAACCTAAGTACACGTTTGAAAAATTTAGATTTCATTTGTTCTGTAACATTTGGTAGTACTATATTTTGTACTGTAATTATATCATGAAACCACCTACTTAAATGTTCACCATAATTTTTATTTAGTGCATACAACACTTCACACATGGTATCCAAATTTCTTTTTACTACATCGCCTTCTGTATGTAAGTAAAAAATTGATTTAATATTAAACTAACATTTATAAGTGTAATAACTTACTAAGAATGCAAATCATTTTTATGACAAGAAATTGACCATTATCTTCTATAACTTTAAATAAAACTTCATGTTCTCTACTTGTATTTATAAATGCAGTCAAAAAAAATGTTGCTGTTTTTGCCAGAAATATCTCGTTAGCACACAATGCTTCAGAAGCTAAAAAAATAAATAATTTTGTCCATAATGAATTTAAAGTTTTTGCTTTTTAAATTATTACCTAATTTAAAAACAAATATAAAATCTATATTTGGATTATTCACAGCAATAAATGGCCATTTCCTGAATATATGTCCTTGGAGAGATAAATAAGATTCAATTACATCTCCAAGATTAAATTGATCAGCAGGAGATGATTGTTCAATCATAAATTTTACTCTCATACAAATTTCTTCATATGTAGATTTAAGAAGTGGAATACTTGCATCGTACTGTCCAAACATTATTACTGCCTAAAACAAACATTGATTATCACCATAAGTGATTTAAATTATTACTCAATTAATAGCTAAATTACTTCTTTGAAAAGTATCAAGCCTGCAGGTTGTGGAGATTTTCTAAATCCAATCATCAGAATTTCAATAACCATAGTTGTAATTTCCACACAGTTTTCACTTTCTTGCACTAGTTTGGAATTAATTGTTTTTAACAATTCACAAACATCCTGAAAATATTTTTATAGTTTAAATAGACTATGAACATCAAATAGCATGAAGTTTTATTTACAATACATTATAATCATTTTTATTGATTAATGATACAAAATCATATTATTGTCTATACTTTATTTATGGGTATATTGAAACTTAATAGTAAATTTATAATGTGATAGACGTAAATTATTATGATGAAAATTTAAAATACAAATTAATTTTAATTTTTTTTTTTTTTATGAAATTTAAATTTCTTGATATTTTTATACTACAGCCCACAAGAGAAGTAAATTAATAACAGCAATCGATGTTGACTGAATTCAACATTATTAATATATGAATTCGACGGGAATACATTTTTGGTTAGAATATGGTTTACTTCACGTCGGAATTTAATCCACACAACATATTGATACACAATTGAACATATATAACAGTGGTCGGCAATAGGCGGCCCATGGGCTAAATCCGGCCCATGAAGGAAAAATAATTGGACCACAAAAAAATATTTACTTTTTTAATAATTCCACACATAATATATATTTTATGATGTATTTAGAGATGACGATGGTTTTTATTGTTTATTGCTATTTACAATAATAGTTGCGATAATATAACAATTATTAACTAATATCTGAGTTTTTAGTTTTTACTGGAAATTTTTTTTTTGATTTTCTGTACCTCCATAGAATTTAATTGCCGACCCCTGATATATAATCTTACTTATTGAAAATAATATTTACATAAATTATCATGTAAAAAAAATATATCAAACATAAGGGATTTGATATTTAAATGCATTAACTCACAAATTTCACTAACACAATTAACTTACAGCATATAATGTATCTTCAGGAGAAGAAATGAAATATTTCATTCCTGTCTTCTGAAGAAGATGAAAAGTTTTTTGTATTATTTGGTAAACTACAGCTTTCATATCAATTGCTGATACTAATGAATTAAGAACTTTGATTCTATCTTGTAGCTCTGATCTATGTTTAGTAAATTCAGCATCATCCTATAAAAAATTAAATATATTTAAATAAATTATTCAAATAATGAAATACAAAATATAAATTAACCTCAATAGTTAATATATTTGTTATAGTATCCAAAATAGGGTTGATGAATGTATCCAAAAATGGTTTATTTTTTGGATATGATATAACTGATAAAATAACTCCAACAGTATTCATTAAACGTATTTCTTCTTTGAGTTTCTTTACTTTCTTTAATACCATCTAAAATGTTTTACAATTTTAATTTTTAATGGATTAACACTAAATTCATATTAATAAAACTCTTACTATTGCTGTGTTTAATATAATATCATTATATGGAGCAATGGATTTTCTGCATTCTTTAGCTATATCTCTAAGAGCAATAGAGGCTGAAGAAAACATGTTACTATTATGAAGACCTGTCATTAATAGAGGTATAATTAATTCTAAATAGGATGGGTGCATTTTCATCCAATAATAATATGCTCCTAAAAATAATATAAATTAATTATGTAAACACCATTTGCAATAATAAAATAATATCAATGTTTTGAATACCAATAGTATCCATAGCAGCTATGGAAGCTTTTTGATCTATTTGTTCATATGGTAATGAAACTAAAGAAGATATTAATTGTTCTATATGAGGATGGGATTTATGGCTTTGAAGAGGTTCTGATATTGCAGTGAAAGCATACAAACATGCCTCTACAGTTTGCCATTGTGCAATTGCAGTTTCATGGTCACACGTTACTTGTTTGTAGATTGTTAACAAGACATCTAACATCTCAGATTGTAAGATGAAGTAACAGTAAGTCTGAAATAGTATTTAATGTAAAATATTTTAGTGTATATTATATTTGGTTTAATGTTAAAGCAAAAACTAGTAACTGGTGATGTAAGACAAGTAAAAATAATGATATTTAGGTAAATATGACTGATATATGAGCAGAAGTTGATAGTTAATTTAAATTTAGTAAAAAATACATGATAGAGAAAATTTCAGTATCACTAATCTTTTAAGTTAAATATGTACACACAAAATGTACTATTATTAAATAAATTGTTTAATAACTAAAAAAATATAATAAAAATGCATACAAAGGTATCAGATATGTCTTGTCTATAACATCGAAATAATTCTCTTTCATCTGGAGTCCATGATTCTAAATTTTCAGGGTATGAAACTTTTTTTAATAGGACTTGAGTTAAAGATATATATAATGGCTTAACAATAGTAAGCAATGCGTTATCTGGACCAGCATCATTTGATAATAAATCATCCTAAAATAAAGATTAATTATTAAAAATAAATAGTAATCAATTATTAAATGAAGCAAAAAAAAAAAAAAAAATAAATAAATACTTACTTGTAATAAAAACCAGAATGTAAATGTTTTCTCACTATAATTTTCATTTACAGGATAATAACCAGGTGCATTTGTACAAGTTAAATATAAATTAAAAAATTTAGTACATAACTCTCTGGTATTATCATTTAGTAGGCCTTGGACTAACAGACGAAAATGTTGATCACCAATACCCAAAAATAGATCAAAAAGTTTATCTACTACAACATTCTGTAAACAAAGAATCATTGTTACTTTTCCCTTATAAGCATAAAAAATATGAATTGATTTACTTACTGGCTCTTCTGTAATTTCTAAATGAAATAATTTATCAGATAATACTATCACTTTACTTAAAACTTCAAACACAGTAGCTACACATACAGATGTACGAGGGTGTGTACACAATGATTTCAAAGCATCAATAGCCAATAAAACACATCTAAAGCGAATCAATTAAATTAAATTATATAATTAATTATATGATTAATAGCTTTAATTTATATACATTAAAAAACTTACACTTGACTTCTTTCAGGGTTTAAAATGACAGATATAAATGTATCTGTGAGTTGATGACATTTAATGAGATCAAAACCTATATCCAACCAAGCTGCAGCACATTTTAAAGCGTGTACTACAATTGGGTCCAAACTGTCGCTTTTAAGAATACTATCCACAATAGATAAAACTAAATAAATATTTGTGAACAATTAGAAATAAATAAAATATATAATATAATACATATTCATATTTAAATATCAATAAAAATTACAAGAAATTACCTTGTAGAGAAGATTGTTGTAATTCCTTCCTTACTTCATTTCGCTGTGTATGAACTAATTTGGTTGCACCAAACTAAAATATATTTTTAAACATAACTTAATTGCTTTTATTTTAATTCAAGAATTATTCTTGGTAAATAAATTAATAAAAATCTTACTTCATCTGGTAAAGCCATTAATATTTCTAAAATCATAACGCTGACATTTATAGATGATTGAGATAGAGAATTCCTAAAAGTTTCCATCAATTGTGGAATTGCATCTGGCCAATGATGTGGTATTGTACGAACTACATATGCACAAAGCTATAATAAACAATGTTTAATTACGCAAATTAGTAATTATAGAAATAGAATAAAACAAACTTATAAACATTTTTTTCTAAATTAATTAAGCATATTAATTACAAAATGTAAAGAATTATTATAAATATGAATTTACTATTTAGTATTGTCCTTACACAGTAACATAATTTATTGATTACATTTGTTGGTCCAGATGAATTGTAATATTTAATTAGGGTGTCCAATATTTTATCTCTAAGAAGCACATAATCAGTTCTTTTCAATTGCAACCATTGTTTTGTAATTTTAATGTGAAGTGTAGTAGCACCAAAAAATTGTATCTCATGAGGCTAAAAAGAGATCAAAATTATTTATCACAGTTGAATAAATATTATATAAAACAAATATTGTTAAAACACTAAATAAGTATTCAATAGGAGCGGCCTCCAGGTAAAAATTCCCACTTCTGATAGTCACTGTTACTACTTACTTTAGATGTATCTAACATGCTCCACACAAGGTTCCAGGCATCTACAGAGTTTTGGAAATCCAATAAAATGTTATGAACTTCTGCATTTTGATTGCAATAAAACTCTGCTAATGCATGTTCGACTGTTTCTAGAGACATTATTGGTATCTTATTGAAAATACGTCAAAAATAAATGAATTTAAGCTTCTGTTGAATCATAAATATTCAATATTAATGTGCATTAAATCCTGGAGTGTTGAGAATTAAACAAAATAAATAACAGTTTAGAATTTCAAACTTAAATTTAAAATTAAATAAACACATGAAAATGAATTTACAGTAATTGCTAATTGGTAACACTAAATAATAATATTGTCGTCTATATCAATTAGAAATTGTTTAAAAAATTTATCAGACTTAAAAAATTTTAAATTTTAGTAACTAGTAAATACTAAGTAATAAGCCATTAGCAAATATCCATTGCCAATGCCCAATAGGTAATGCAAAAAGTTAAATGCAGTTAAATTTTTAATTCTACTATCTAATATCTACAATTTTAATTTTTATCATATGAATTATGAATTATTATTGAATATCAAATTTTTAATAAAAAAATAGCTTGATAAAAAACAGTGCAGCCAAATAACATAAAAATTAAGTTCCTAATCCAAAAGTTGTTTCATAATCCTCCATTCGGCAATGTTGGATAAGTCGTATCATAATATAAGCGGCTGTAACAGATTGCTATTTAGTATTTAGAAATTAGAGTATTTAGACTCAAGACTATTTAGTAATATTTTGTATCCCATATCTCTGTTTTATTTTTCACAGTTCATACAGCCATAGTCCATACTATTTGGACCTAAATAGGATATTTTTACTAGTTAGTAGCTATTGGATGAATAAACATGACAAAATAAATAGGTACCTACTTATAATTAAATAAATACATTTTATCATGAATCCAATGGCGTAGCATGAAAATTGGTGGCCCGTAAGACTATTAGTATTAAAGCAAAGTGAGTGGTCTCCTGAAACACAGAAATTAAATTATTAAAAAGACGTTGTACCCGCATGTGTTATTTTTGTCTTACTAACGCAAACTATTCCAAAAAATATGTTAATTAGTTTCAGTTTTATTGGAGTGAAATGACCTATTATAAAACTTAAAGGTAAGAATAATATTTGAGTTCTATAGTCAATTTTTTTTTTATACTTTAATTTTTAAGCGAATTATAAAGATTTTAAAATATTAATAATTAACAAACTCATAACTTGCTTAAAAATTTAAATACCGTAAAACATCTATGAGAGAACACGAATATTATTCTTGCTTTAAGTTTTATGGTAGGTCATTTTATTCTAATATTTTAAGCTAAACACACCAAATTGGAACTGTTGAACGTATATTTTGGTATGGTAGCTTTAGTATTACAATATATGTGTAATGATAGGGTACGACGTCCTCTTAAGTAGTGATACCATAGAATTTTTTTCGAATTTTAATTTTAAATCAAATCATTTTTAATATTAATGTCTTTTGAGTATAAAAAAATGTTAATTTTTTTTTAATGTTATATTTAAGGCCTTGTGGCTGCCTAACTTGAACATACCTTGCAGAGATCCAGTTAACTTGATCTAAATACGCTACTGCATAAGTTTATAATGGTACACCCATACAAAATCGATAAAGATCTTTATACAGACAGTATAAATATTAGCCATCTATTTATGTAGACATGTGTGTTTGATGGAGCTGTACCGAACAAGGGGAATTAGTGCATTACAATGTGTTAGCACGTTGTCATTACTCATTTGGAGCTTCGGTTACACAGATTATTCACTTTAAACTCAAAACTCATTAATTTATGAACATTTTGACCTTGTATTTTTTTTATCATAATTTTGTGATATTATCTATATGTTTACGTATTAATATTGAATCATTGTATTCATTGCATATGTCAATATGTGGACGCCGAGGTAAACGGAACAAAAATCAACAAATAAAAAAAACTAAGAAATTAGAAACTAAATTTATATATTTTATTAGACATTAGTTCTGATTAAAAATTTATATCAATAATAACAATAAATATTAATAGTAAAAATAAAATTATATTTATCTAAATTTGCATTCGAATAATTAAAAAAATATTGAACTATTATTTTTTTTTAGCTATTTATTTCATTTTATATATTATATAATATAATATACATAGATAAAACAAAATTTTATTAGTTATTTAATATTTTCATACACTTTTTAAATAATTTATAAACAAAGTAAAGCTATTAAGTAATAAGTCTATGGTTGGAACATTTTTAACCATTTTTATGAATAGGCATATCTAGAGATTTTTTGAATGATTTTAGAAATTTGTCTTTACGACTTTACTTATTAAAGTATTAAATATTATAGAACGAGTATAAGATATAGAAGTGGCTATCTTTTTCAAAATATAAATTGCATCCAAATTTTCAAAAAAATTATTAAAATGTTTATATTTTTAAGAGGGTTGACAATTTCTAACGTTAAGTAGGTTTTATTAGTCTTAATACGAGTATATAGTCAGGTATGTAAAAATTTGTTTTGGGATATCAAAATTTTTATACTTAATAATATTATTATAGAAAGTAGATACCTCTGTGGCTCTATACTAACGTCGGGACAAAAACTATTAAAATCTTGCGCAATATTTTTAATATCACTAACTTGTATGTTATTATTATCATCTAAATGAGGATGAAATCTTTAACAAGATTCCATACATTTTTAGAGTCATTAACTGCTAGAGTAATACAATTTTCAAAATAAAAGTTTGTCGCTAGTTTAATAACCTTGTTTAAAACATTCCTATATTTAATAAATTTATGCTTAAGTATAACATTAAAAGATTGTTTACGTTGTTGAGAATAAAGTTTCTCTTGGTTTATAATTGAAATAATAATTTCTTTATAAATCCATTGTTTTAATTTTTAATTTTTGTTTTTAACTTTATGTTTTACAATTGGATCAGTGGATAAATTGATTAAGCTGTTTAATAAAAGATTCTAAATTAAAAAATCTACACACTCGTGCAATGAGTTCCGATTAGTATTAGTTATTAGATATTAATAGGGCCCGGAACTTGATGATCTAAAAATATATGAAAAATGCACGAAAAAAATGCATAAAATGACGTAAAAATATTTAAAAAATGACACGAAAAAATGATATTAAAAATGTATATTTTACTGTAAAAATTAATAAATAGGTATTGTTTTGATACAAAAAATTAAAATATTAAAATAATTTTTATTTAACTAAATAAAAATATGTATAAAAAATACTACTATTGCGATTATTCGGTATCATTAACCGCGATAACTGATTTTAAGCATATGGATGTCCCGGGCCTAAAATAATATCTGCCTACAGTTTATTTAAAACAAGCTAATGGAAACTGCATGTGTTACAATAAAATGTAACTTTCAACAAGAAAAATGCAAATATTTGTAAAAAAAAAGTACAAAAATGAATAAAATGCACTAAAAATACTAAAAAATGACCGTAAAGTATAAAATTCCCTAAAAATGCAAAAAATGCAAAATAAAAATTGTACCATTAAATTCTACACTTCATGAATCAAATTTCTGTATAGACATGTATTAAATGTGAGCATTAGAAAAAAAGATGCAAATGCATCAAGTTCTGGGTCTTAGATATTAACGTATTTAAGAAATAAAAATTAATATCATGTTAAACCAATTGGTAACCATTATGATTTATGACTTATAAAATTAGAATCTAGAACATAAAAAATAATAAAGTACTAAAATGATCAGTACTACTAGATTTAAAAATAAGTGCAGCAAATTTACACGAATCTAAGTTGGAGTGGCCGTTAAGCTTAAAATAATTATTAACAAATATAGGTAATATGGTCAATAAAAGACTTAGGATTATCTCCTATAACTCTTGTAAAATCATTTATAGTAGAAGTAAATCAAAATTTTGCAAGTGTATTTACGCGTAACTATTATTTTTATTAGAGTTGTCGTATAGGTTAATGTTAATATCACTGCAAAATATATAATTAATTTTAAATTTATTATTTGATAGATATTCGTTTTATTATAAGATAAATTACTAGTATTAGTAAGTACCCTGATACCGGTAACAGGTAGTCATATAATTGAAACATTTATAGGGGTTCTATAAAAACAGAATTCTTTCAATGTTTTGATATTTAAAAAAGATATGACCATCATTGTTTTTTAACAAAATAGGTATGTTTTCAGAAATTAGAAATTCAGACTATAAATATTTAGGATTAATTATGAAGTAGTTAAAGTAAGTTAAAACAAGCTAGAAAACAAATATTTTTTGGGCCAGAATAAGAAAAAATAAATATAATAAATATATAGAAAATTCAAGTTATGTACTTAATTTTTTTTTTTTATTAAAGATAGGTACGTTATAAAAATGACAAAAACAACATATGTTTCTATTTAAACTATTATTTCAGCCGTGCTAAAAGTAAAATTGGCGAGCAACAGTGAAAATTTCTGACCAGCCTAAAAAAGTCTAAAGTTGTGAAAAATTCTACGCTTCTTTTCCAAAAAATGATACCCTATAGGTAAATAATATTATATCAGTATCTAAATCACACAATTATTTAAAGTATTTTATAAGTCACATGTAGATTGACTTTGAATAGGCACTGGTTCATTGATATAGGAAAAATCAATAGCTATGTAGGTAAAAAAAAAAGCAAAATCGTAAATTAAAATTGGTAGAGTACATAACAAGCTTATGTCACCTATATTTTAATACTTATCGAACGACAGTCACACACTATAACGTCTATAACGTCTATAATGTAGTCATTTTTATCAATTCATTAGCCATATTCCTTGCTGCTGGCTGCTGTAGGTTAACAGGTTTTGTATATTGTAATACGTAAGCTTTTTAATTTAATTTTATTAATATACAAGTTTAAACTTATTTTAATTTATTTTGACTATAATTATACTGTCTTATATCACTTCGAAAAATTTCAATTAAAATACATGAGTTTCGAACAGTAATATATATGATTGATACTACAGTATTACTTACATCGGGATATAATACGTATACTATAGTAACACCATTTGATATACTGTACAACGATTGCTGTCTTTGGTATGTGACGTTTTATGATATTTTAAGATGGTATATCGTGATTCGTAAGATTTGATGTAGGTGACTTCCTTTTTCATCAAAATGAATCCTCTCTGCTAAATGAGATAACAAAACATTCTATTTTCTGCCAAAGCAAACAGTTTCCTTTTCCTCCTCATGGAAATGTAAAATAAGATTGACTAAATAATAAATACATTCTGTAAAGAGATA